TATGTATATATATATTTAAATATACGAGTCTTTTATATATTTATACGTATATATATGTATAAATACATGTATATTTTGTGTATATATATTTTATATATACATAACAAATATATATTATACATACATATATATGAATTCGAATATATATATATATATATAAATATATATATTTCAATTAAAATCCAAATTTTCAACCGATTTTCGTTGGAATTTTTTTTAAAATTTCCAAAAAAAATTCCAACCGGCATCCGTTGGAATTTTTTAAAAAAATTTCCAAAAAAATTTCCAACCGGCATCCGTTGGAAATTCCGTTGAAATTCTTTCTAACAAACATCCGTTGGAACTCCGTTAAAAATTTGCAACCGATTTTTCCAACGTTAATCCGTTGAAAATTTCCAACGGATCTCCGTTGGAAATACCGTTGGAAATTTCCAACCCAATTTTTCAATTGAATACGTTGAAAATTCCGTTAAAAATTTCCAACGGGTGTTTCCAACGGATACCCGTTGTAAATTTTCAACGGAATTTTAACGGAAATCGTCGTTGAAACGCCGTTGAAAACCGTTGAAAATTAATCAGTTTTGTATAATTAATGGGTTAGGTGCCGTGGAGATAAATTTTCGTCCGGTGCTATATGGTTTAAAAATTAATCAATGTTGTCGATGATCATTAAATTTAAAAACACGCAAAACTATGAAGATACACACAAAATCGACCAACTTTGAAATGGAAAAAATGGTGCATATACTTGCATCAATAATTCGATAAATCAATGGGTTTGCATATAAATATATAAGGCGCGACTAATCAGAGTAATAATTATATATAATTTTGTTATGTTCTGGCAAAAAATTTCAAGGCTTATGATTCTTTGTGTGAATACTATCATCCGTCTCCAATTTTCTCTATGTCAAAATTATTTACAATTTTGAATCTCCAACAATATTACTGAGTGTTTCTTTGTAATGAAGTATAGTTTTATTATTAAATAAATAAATTTAAAAATGTAAAGATAATAAAAAATTATTATATCATTTAAAAGAAATATATGTGTATCTATAATAATAATTTAAAAGCAATATAACAGGGTAATATTAATATATATATGGATTGAAATGTATGCAAGAAGATGGTTCTGACCCAGAAAAAGAATATTTGGGCCCGCATTTTCTCTGGGCCCACCTTTCATCTATCTATATGGGCCCTACGTTTTGAGCTCTCTGGCCCCATCTCTCTCCCAGACTTTTCCATATTCATCTCTCTCTCTCTCTCAAAGTGCATTCCTCTTAATGGTGCGGTAGATACATGTCATATACAGACAATAGAGAATGTGATACCTTCTGTTTCACTGTTCTTTGAACTAATAGCAAAAAATAAATAAATATAAAAAGTGATATAAAAAAGGAGAGAGAGAGGGGCATTATATGACCTGTCGGGGTTGATGTCTACACAAAATAGCGTATACGTACGTATACTACCTGTATTCAAACATTTATTAATATGTTTGTTTTGTTGAGATTATAAACAGTTTTTTCCCCCTTCATTATTAATGTGTTGAATATCGTATTTAGAACCAAAGGAATTTTTCTTAACCCTTGTAAATTAATCACCAGTTAATCTTTCTTTCTTTTTATTGTTTTACATCACACCAGTTCATATATAAAACATGCTTGTCTTTTTTTTTTTTTATTTATAAATATATACTCATGTCTGAATGAACAAACTATGTTGTTTGGACCATACTAATGTAGGGTCCAAAAAAAGGAATGAACTTTATATTTCCAGGATGATAAATAAACAAGCTTCTCCTTTATCATCTACGAGCATCCACCAGCAAAACCAAAGCCTCACACTTCAGCCAAATTTCCCGTTCTATCTGAGTCTTTTGCAGTGTTTTATGTTCTTCTCGTTCAGTGTAAGAAAAGGTTTCAGGATTTAATGTCAGAACCTGTCGCAGAGAATGATTACTTGGGTTTTTCAGAGCGGGCATTGATGGAAACTTCTGGCAAAGCCAAAACCAGAGACGATGACAGCGCCGGTCTTAACCTGAAGGCCACCGAGTTGAGACTCGGGTTACCAGGGTCCGAGTCAAGGGAACGAGCCGACCTGGGATTTCTGTCGCTCAAGAGCTGTTGTTCCATGTCGGGGGCCAAAAGGGTATTCTCCGACGCGATCGACGGGTCTGGAAACTGGGTCTTCTCTTCCGGATCTTCCGGTGATGACGCTGCTCGGTCGGATCCGGGTTCGGGCCCCGGTGGTTCCGCCGGTCCGGCTAAACCGGACTCGCCGGTTCAGGAGAAGAATTCTGGTTTAGCTCCTGGTTCAAAGTAACTGTGTTCCCGTCTCTCCTGGTCCTTTTCTTTTTCTTCTTCAAGAAAGAAGTTTTCTTGTGTGATCTTTTTCCGTTTTCAGGTGTTTTCAGTGGTATTAAGTTTGCTTCTATGATGCAGAATTCTAATCTTCTTCCCTCAGTTTCATCTGGAATGAGATCATGCCCATAAAACTCAAGAATTTTGTCTCATATGCGTAGACTCTGTTATATGAATTTCTTCTGGTTCTTCCTCTGTTGGGGAAGAAGAGATTTCGAATGTAATAAGGGCAGTGGTAAAGCTCCTGGCTTTTGGAATTTTGGCAGGGCACAGGTCGTGGGATGGCCACCAGTTCACTCTTTGTCGACAGTTCCGGAAGAACACATTGGCTTCTCAGTCTCACAAGAAGGACTGCCAAAACTCGGAACCAGGATTGTACGTGAAGGTTAGCATGGAAGGTGCTCCTTACTTGAGGAAGATCGATCTCAACACATACAAGAGCTACACTGACCTCTCTTCAGCACTTGACAATATGTTCGTTTTCTTCAAGATTGGTAAAATTTTCCCCCTTATTATCTGCTTACTGGGTTGAGTTCATTGCAAGTTCTTGAACTCTTTGAATGGTTTTTGTTTTTGTGCAGGTCAGTTTGGTTCTAATGGAGGGTCAGGCCGAGATGGTTTGAATAAGAGCGGCTTGACCGATCTCTTGCGTGGATCTGAGTACGTGGTAACGTTCGAGGATAAAGACGGTGACTGGATGCTGGTCGGTGATGTCCCTTGGGAGTGAGTTTGGTTTTTTTCACAGCTTCATAACTTACATTTGTACATGGTTTGGTTTGATCTGTAAGTAGGATGTTATCATGAAACTCTTGCTCATGGCAAAGACAATCTCCAGAATCCCACTTCAAAGTGATGAATTTCAGAACTCAAAGATCTGTTACCCATGTTCATTTCTGACAAGCAGATAAAAAAGGAATGTCAAAAGGGATGAAAGAGAGATTGACCAGTCTCAATCTTTTCTTATTTCTGCAGAATGTTTGTAGATTCCTGCAAGAAGCTGAGAATCATGAAGAGCTCAGAGGCTATCGGTCTAGGTATGAGGAATTGGACATTCTTGTATAAGAACCCCTGTTCGATTCTTTCTAGTTCACTTGCTGATGTTTCTGCATATGCCTTTTGTTTCAGCTCCAAGGTAATTGGAGAAGAGCAGAAACCGGAATTAGTTTGCCATCTCCGGAAGCTGTTATGTCCTTAAGCGATGATATAGCGATAAGATGAAAGATAAGAAGCCGATATGTTTTCCTATGTAATAGTCATTTTTGAGGTATTCTAGTGTTAGGAATGGTGTTTGATCTTTTGATATATCCTCTTTCTAATAAGGCCCTCTGCTTTTGTATATATGCTTGCATTCTGTGTTCGCTGCTTTCAGGTCCTCCTGTTATGTAAGACTTTATATGTACAGAAATGGAACTGGAAACCTTCATATCTGCAGTGTGGAAGCCCTGAATCGTGCATTTCTTTTGAGGACAGAGAAAAGGATTTTAGACAAAGGGGTCAGGATTCTTGAAAGATGAAGCTGATGCAAAAAAAAAAAAAAAAAACGCTATTACATATGTGGAGAACATTTCACAAATTCAGGATTCTTCACTTAACAAATTAAGGGATTAATTTGCTTTAATCACAACAAAAATAACAATCAAGAAAAGTTCTCGTTGAAAAAAATTGCTCTACTTGCTGTGTGATCCCATGCCTCAGTTGTCTATTCTCCAAGAGTAAATCTGACAAACCTCCTGACCTTGATGTTTTCACCAATGGCAGCCACTGTTTGCTTCACCAGGTCCTTCACCAGGACACTGTCATCTTTAATATAAGGTTGCTCTAACAGTGCAAGCTCTCCCAGCCTCTTGGAGATTCTCCCCTCAACTATCTTCTCCTTTATGTTCTCCGGTTTGGACAAAATGTCCTCTCTCTGCATCTCAATCTCTTTCTCCTTGTTCCTTATCTCCTCTGGGATGTCTTCAATGGAGACATATTTCACCTGTGTGTAAAATATTTCAGACAAGACCCGAACAGGCAACAGAATAGACTCACGTTTCTGCATCAGATTGCAGCTTTCATTGCAGTTCAATGACTTTCATTACCTGAGGATTAGCCACTGCTTGCATAGCAAGATCATCAACCAATTCCTTGAACTTTTCACTTCTCCCGACAAAATCCGTCTCACAGTTCACTTCGATCAGAACTCCAATACGAGAATCATGGATGTATGAGCCAATCCTGCCTTCAGCTGCAAGCCGGCTTGATTTTTTATCTGCAGTTGAAAGACCCTTCTTTCTGAGATATTCCTGTGCTTTTTCAAGATCTCCTCCTGTCTCTGCCAGGGCTTTCTTGCAATCCATCATCCCAGCTCCTGTCTCTTCCCGCAGCTGCTTCACAAGAGCAGCTGAAACCACTGTTGTTACTGGCCTGCAATCATTTGAGAATGTGATCTGCATGTGAGTACCAAAATTCTTCGGAAG